CTTGCAAGGCTGGACATTCGAGCCAAGTTCTCCACAATACTATGGTAGTCTACCAGAAAATGTGGTAAGTTGCTGAAACGCCATAGCCTTCAAGGGGACACTAGATGACTGTTGGGCTTCTACCTTCCCTGAAACAGTTTGATGAAGACCGAGCCTAATTCGAAATTTTGTCATGGAACTGAGAAACCCTTGGATTTTGAAAAGACTGGAAGCAGAAGGCAAATCAGGCATCCAGCCGTTACAAATTGTATCTGTAACACGGTGGAGATACTTGGTTCAGGCGAAAGTGGGAACTGAAACACCCACCTTGGACAATAGCACGACGCTTAGTGGTAAGCGGCTGTGGGTTGGACCAACAGCCCAGTGTCTCACAGTGATGAAACTGTTTCTCGCATGTGTTTTTCCCTGAGTTAGTTCACCTACCTTGAGGCCCACTAGCTCACACCCTAGAGCCCACCTTGTGATAGGCTTGACCCCTTTTTCTTCTACCATACTCACACTTTTCGATAACCACAAATAGACATGGCCAAAGGTGCTCCACGCAAACACCCTGCGAAACGAGCAGCTACTCGCATGTCTGAGCGAGCAGACCGCTGTGGTAACCCTGCAGAAAAGAAGACAAATCCGGAACCGGGAATATTGGGCGCAATCCTCGAACCCGAGTACTACTTCAAGGCTTCAAGACTCCTATCCAGTCCTTGCGGTACGTTCGCGCGTGGTTTGAATTTTCGAATATCTGGTAGTAAAAATTTGTGGTTGAAAACTAGTGAAATATCTATAGATTCGTTTTAGTTTTTTATATTGGTGTTCCCAAAGCGTTGTAGCCATTTTTAACCTTTTATCCGTTTATCCGTTTTTCGTGACCGTATTTTTGAAATTTTCGCGCGTTTATAAATGATTTCCGCACAGAGTGAAAGTCAGTGTGGTGGCACGGGTTGCAATTTGTATGTAGCTGATGGCATTCAGTGCAANATCCGGAACCGGGAATATTGGGCGCAATCCTCGAACCCGAGTACTACTTCAAGGCTTCAAGACTTCAGGACCCTCAATGCTCAAGAAAGCATGTAGCCGATGGTATCCATTGTGAAACTTGCTACGCATGGTTTCACCAGGATTGCGGAAAACTCCCACAGGAACTATTAAACAAGTACTGCGTGGATAAGAGGCTTATCTGGGTCTGTCTGGCATGCAGGGAGGTAACACGCAGGATAAGGGCCACAGAAAGGCAAGTAACGGTAGAACCGGCATAGATAAATGGCCGACATGAAGAATCCATGAGGAATTCAAAGGAGGGGAGGAATCAAGTACTGAAG